AGCAAGCAATGCCAAGAGGAATCCAATATGCAAATGCCAGCATGCAGAAGTATCCTCTGCAGGCTTTTGAAGGGGTTCTGAATCAGGAGGCTGGTACAATGCCATTTGCTGCTGGACAGCCAGGATTGAGATATGGTGCCAAAGAAGAGCCATTTGATCCAGACAAGTTGGATTGTGCTGAATTCAATAGGGAAACTGATGCAAACCATTTGGATCCACAACAGACACAACTTCAATCGAGACTACCCCATGGATTCATGAGGCCTGGTTTCCTTCAAACATCTTGGAACAATTTTAATCAGCATGTTGAGAAAGATGTGAAAAAGGAGGAACGGTTCCAAAAAAGGAAATTACTGCAAAGTCCACGTGTATCAGGTGGGGCTTTCCCTCAATCTCCATTATCATCAAAATCTGGTGAATTTTCAAGTGGTTCTATAGGGCCTCACTTTGGGGCTGTTGCAACAACCGCTGCACTTGGAGCATCTCTAAAGGATAAGGCAGCTGTTAACTCGATTCCTGCCGTTGGTGGTACCCCATCCTTGACTTCAAGTGCAAATGACTCTATGCAACAACACCACCAGACTCAAGCTGCTGGCAAGCGAAAATCAATTTCCCTCCCCAAGACCCCAGCAACAAATGCTGTTGGATCTCCTGCAAGTGTTAGCAATATTAGTGTTCCACTAAACGCAAGCAGTCCTTCTGTGGGAACCCCACCTTTGGGTGATCAAACAATGCTCTAAAGGTTCTCAAAGATTGAAATTGTGACTATGAGGTATGATGTTAATTGAATTACTACTGCGCTGGAGTTGATGGTCTTCTAGCCATTGCATAAATAATTTCATGTTTCCATACTGTATTTAGTTTAACTGACATCCTGGTCAAACTTTATAGGCTGCTAGTGCCACTTTTTTTTCTTTCTAATGCAGCATACTCTAGATGTTTGTTTGTGTCATGATGAGATGCCAAAACATGATTAGGAGGATTGTTTTATCAAGGCACCTGCTTGGTTATATTAGAAAATAAATCACTGTTCAGGAAGTAAAATTCATGTATTGCTTTCTGTTAAAAGTTTGTATAGATGGCAATATTCATGTTATACTTTCATTCCAGGCATAAGCTCAACATCAAAAAGAACAAGGTTGATGATTTTCATGTCCGTAAACCCCAAACACATTCTCCTCAACTTTTGTCAAGCTGCCTAGCCAGTCTTTCCAGTAATGAGTATTTTAAAGATGACTTGAATTCACTATCAAAGTCACTTGTTGGTGGAAGCATGAATACTCACAAAATAAGAATCTTAAATTTTGTGCAGGGTGAACGGGTTGTTCAAGGTCACTTTTCAGTTATTTGTCAGATTTTTCTCACTTCAGATATTTAGTGGTTTATCCTCCTTGCTTTAACTTTCTCTAATTTATCAGGGAATGTTGTTTCTCTAATTTATCAGGGAATGTTGTTTCTCTAGTTCCTAGGGTACGAACCAGAATGGTTATGTCTGAAACCAACTGATGGGACAGTAGCAACGTTTTGTGGAGACATAGATGATGGTGAAATTCTTGCTGCGGAGGATCACATTCCTTATCTTCCTACACTTCCAAATACTGTAAGTTTGTGTACGTGTTGGGTTTTTCCACCGACTGAAAACTGCCTGGCTCAGTTTTTTGGGAGGTAAAAGCATATTGATGCCATCACTTCATTTTAGATTTTTATTTCTCTTTATACACTCACCCGATAAAGCACAGACACCTATTTTAGGGAGAGCCCAAATGTGCACATAGCATGTCAAAGAACAAACCTAACATTTGATTGGACACAATCAAAACATAGTCAAGACAGTGCAGCACACCTGTGATAAAATTTTTGTGTGTTTATTTATTTAATTACTTATTTTGCATTTCTTTCTAAAATATGGAATAAACAATGAGCAATTTGGTTCTTCTGGATTTTTTAAGATTCAAGTTTTAAATTGGAAAAAAGAAAACTGTAAGATTTTGAAAAGCTATTTGCGTAATAGCATTTAATTGAAAAGAATCAGTTTTTAAACATTTTTATTCTATTAAAAGTTTCTTTTATCACCATATCTTGCCATATATCTGTCTTAATTTTTTTTTTAGAAATTCTCATGTAGTAATGTCCGTGTCGTGCCTTATCCACATTACGTGGATCAGAAACTTATTATCTTTGGTGCTTGTTCAACTTATCTTACTTCACTTTCCTGTTACCTTGCCATGTTTTTTCAATACATGTTTTCTTTTGGACCCTACATTCGGCTGCTGAACTCGGTGTCTTATATCAACTGTATAAAGGAGACTAGAAAGCAGAGTCATTTGCGTTTATTAATCAAGTTTCTCTTAGGCTGTTATTTTGTGCCATCTCTTCCTGGGTTTATCAATTAGGTTAAAAGAATGAATAGATTGCAATACAGCAAACATCAAAATTTGTGTTTCGCTGCAGTTTGAAGTTTCAAGAATTGAACCTTGTATTTTCCACTTCTCTTATCCATGCATGAATTACTCTGCTCTGACATGTTCACCTGATTAAATCCCGTGACAGCATTCAGCGGACTTGCTTGCTAGGCAGTTCTGTTCAGTGGTAAGTTAAAAGTCTTGATATTCAGTGTTAAAGATGTTTGGTTTAAATTATTTTTTCACTTCAATTTTTATTTTAACTTTTGCTTATGCAGATGCTTCGTGAAGGACATCACCTTGTGGAAGATACTGTCCAGGCAAAACCTACTCGAATGCTTATGGCCTCAAGGAGTCAACCAAATTCGTCTGTGGAGACGCAACAATATTCTGAAGCTGCTCCAGTTCAGGCAACCAATGAAGTGGCAAAACCAAATTGCAGTAATAATATTTCTGTAAATCCGTCCCAGAATATGCTAGGGAACACTAGGATGCTGCATCCTGGAAACCCTCAGGCTCTGCAGATGTCTCAGGGGCTCTTATCAGGTGTTTCGATGCCTGCAAGGCCACCGCGGCTAGATCCACAATCGCCACTTCAACTACTGTCGCTGGCACAAGGACAGCAGCAGCAGCAAAGTCAGCAACATGCCATGCTTCAACAACAGCATCAGCAGTTCCAGAGATCACAGATGGCGCTTGCATCGAATCCTCTTTCGCACTTAAATGCAATCGGACAGAATTCAAACATGCAGTTGGGGAATCAAATGGTCAACAATCCTTCCCCTCTCCAACTTCAGATGATGCAGCAGCAGCAACAACAGCAGCAGCAGCAGCAACAGTTGCAGCAGGCACAAATGCAGAGAAAAATTTTGATGGGAATAGGAACAGCTGTAGGTTTGGGAAACATGGGCAACATGGCGCGGCTTGGGGGACTTGGCAATGCCTTGGGAATTGGTGGGACTGGAATCTCAGCTCCAATGGCACCTATTTCAGGCATGGGTAACATGAGTCAGAACCCAACTAATATTAACCCAGCTTCAAATATTACGAGTGCAATAAGCCAGCAGCTTCGACCGTGTTCACTAACATCAACTCAGCAGGCTGCTTTCATTTCAAAATTGAGGATGGGAAGAGCAAGCATGTTAGGGGGTCCTCAATCAAGCATCGCTGGTATGTCTGGAGCCAGGCATATGCATCCAGGTTCTGCTGGTTTTTCCATGCTGGGCCAGGGTCTGAACCAGGCTAACATGAACCCTATGCAATGCGCGGGTGTGGGACCCATGGGTCCTCCAAAGATGATGGCTGGGGTGAACCAGCACTATATGAACCACCAGCACACTACAGTAAAATTGTTCTACAGCGGCGTTTTTAGCGGCGTTTTGAGAGTAAACGCCACTAACTTTAAACATATAGCGGCGTTTACACTCCAAACGCCACAAATTGATAACTTTAGCGGCGTTTTTTATACAAAACGCCACAACAGAGTAGTACTTTAGTGGCGTTTTTATACAAACGCCGCAATAGGTTCATCCATAGTGGCGTTTTTTAAACAAACGTCATGACATAGTAGTACTTTAGCGCCGTTTTTATACAAACGCCGCTATAAACACGTAAGTTAGTGGCGTTTTTATACAAATGCCGTTATAGACATGTAATTTAGCGGCGTTTTTATACAAACGCCGCTATAGACACGTACTTTAGTGGCGTTTTTATACAAACGCCGCTATAGACTCGTACTTTAGTGGCGTTTGTGTTTAAAAACGCTGCTATAGACTCGTACTTTAGCGGCGTTTGTAAAAACAAACGTCGCTAAAGTTTAAAGTTTCCCTTTAACCTATTTTTTTTCATTCTCGCTCGCTCCCTTTCTGAAAAATAAACATGTTTCATCTTCTCTCTTCCCTCTCTACTTCACCACCACTTAATTCAAATTTCCTGCTTCACCACCACTGCCACTGCTCTCAGCGCTCTGCCTCCCGTGCCACTGCAGTCTGAGTTGCTCCCAATACATTTAGACCGAAAGCAAAATGAGATATAAGTCTAGAGAGAACTGAACTGAACCCGAACACGACAAGTTCCTCGAGGCTCTCCATCTGTAAATTCTAAAACTGTTTTTTCTATCTAATTAGTTATACGAAATTTTTCTTGTCTTTTGAATTAGGGTTTTTGCCTCTCTCTTTTTCTTTTGGAAATTGATTGCGATAAATTGATTGTTGGTTTCGCTCTTGCTACTTCTGCTCTTGTTGATTGGTTTCGCTCTTGCTTGAGTGTCATTTTTTCTTTTGGCAAAATGGTTCTTCGTCAAACCAATTTGAATCCTGAAAGGCCCGGTTAGTAAATTTTACTACATTTTAGGGTTTTTATATGCCCATTTCTTGTTATAGAAGTGGTTAAAATTGTTTGCTTGATTTGTTTATTTTGTAGTGATTTTAGCCTGCGTTGGAAATAAAAATGCTTATAGTTGATCTATAATTCATCCTTAATTCTTATTAAGTTTTGCTATAAATTAGAAATGACTATAGCTTATAGTATGTTTAGTAACAAAGAAATCAGTACTGAGATAAGCTTTAAGTGGTTTGTAAAATTATCATGTCAGATTTTGCTGCAGGATTGGGGTTTCCGTGTTAAAAAGTCGGGTTTTGAAGCTTGTAGAGAAATTGTGTCTTCGCATTTAGACAATTCGAATCTTGAATTATGATTCTCATCATTGTTTAGATTTGAATTTCTCTCTTACCACTATCATCCAAAAGATTTTTTGTTATGTCCAGCTCTATTCGCTTTTCAACGTGAATCAACTCAGACTTTCTCCTTGGTGCCATGAGCATATATTGTGAATAATAGTAAGGCTATTTTGTTTTCTTTGTCTGGCTGCAGGCTGAAATGCAGAAATTGAGGGTTGAAATGGCTTCCATGAAGAGGGATGCTGAGCATTATTCACGCCAAGTAATGTTCAAATTTATTCCTCTATTTTCCTTACTTCAAACACATTTATGCATGCACCTTGTTCTGTATGCATGTTCTAATCAGAAATGAAGTATGGCTTTATCGATGGTTTGGTTTCTGTTAAGTGTATATAAACTGAAAGTGTTTATAATGACTACTGAACTTAGTACTAGTAGAGCCTTAACTTTTATTGCTTGTTTTACAGCTAGTTGTATGCCAGCTGCCAAGTTAATGCGAGGTCTGATTTGGTGAGAAATGGTAAAGAAATTTTTGAAAATAGCTTTCACTTTTTTCTGGGATTTATTTAATTTTTCTTTGGGGTTGTTTTTTTATATATATTTGAGCTATATAGTGGATTTTATTTTGTGGGTTTTCTTCGTTAAGGTGAAATATTCTGTCTTGACTAGTTAATGTGAGGTCTGATTTGGTGATGCTTTGAACAGTTCGCTTTTATATATATAAAGGTTTGCAAGTGAGATGAATGTTGAATGTTTAAACAATTGGTGTTAGTTGAGCAAGTCACTGGACTAAATACCCAGAGGCCTTGATTGTAGGGGAAAAAAAGTCAAATCTAGAGATGCACACAGTGAAAATAGTTGATAATTTGTTTTCTGATGAACTTTCAAACATCTGTTGCATATCTCAACTTGTAGGACCTGTAAAATGTGAATAAATTATTCATATTGTTGTCTACCAACTAAAAGTTCATACATATAACAATATTTCCTGTATTTTTAACTTAACATCTGTGTAACACATCACAGTTTTACATTTTACTTCTCTCTACACAACCATGCTCCTGCGATTAAGTTGGAATTGCACAATTTAGCAATAATAATGGGTTTTGAATTGTTAAGGACTGACTAAAATGTTTAGTACAAGTAGTTACTGATTGTATAAAGAACATCGATGTTTGTTGGAAATTTAATTATAAAAAAAGAATAATAAATGGAAGAGCTACATATTAGTATTTACATGGATTGCTCTGATAGAAAGAATATGGAAAGTGAACATTGTGGCTTACCCCACTAGAAAATAATATGTTATAAAATGTATGCATCTATATAATATCGCCTCATTCATACTAGATAGAGAGGAGTATGGCTGTCAGAGCTTCAAATGTTAGTCTTGCTTCTTCGAATATTATTTGTTCTTAAAAAAATTGTGGCTGGATTTTGATGTTTAAGGCTGGTTGGTGTTGGAGAAGCTTCTTTCATAAGTCTTGCAGGTCCATTTATTGACGACAATGCTCCCATTTCTCAGGTCTTTGTTCCTAACTTTGAAAACCTATCCTCTCGCGTACACTACACTATCAATCATGTTAATTCTCTATCATACTCCAGAGAACTGCCTGGCTTGCAACATTTTATATGTGCATACCCACTGGAATTGCTGTTGGATATGTTTATGGTGGACTGGTGAGTTTGTATATCCCTTTTGTTCTTTCTCACTTTATTTTTCGTCTTGTTCTTACTGTACAGATACGTCTGCTGGATGTTTGAGAATTAATCAAAAAATATTTTTACTTAGGTTGGGGAACATCTTAACTGGAGCTATGCATTCTGGGGAGAGGCACTGTTAATGTTACCATTTGCTGTTTTTGGCTTTGTAGTGAAACCATTGCAGTTGAAAGGTAAACTTTCTGGCCTGTTTGCACTCCAGCGTTTGTTATTTTATTATCTCACAACATTTTAAATATTAAACATTTTGAACTTTGAATCGTAGGTTTTTCTTGTGTTGAATCAAAAAAAAGAATCAACACCTGTGGAGACAATTTCTGCTGTAACTGATGGTACGCACTATTTATTCTTCTTCTTCTTCTTCTTTGATTTGTTGTTGGTCCATTATTTACTGAGAAGTCACTTTCAGCTATCACATGGGTGGAGCTAGGAAATCTATAGTACGGTGTCATTTATTTTTAGAGTGGTGTCAATATTATTTTAAATGGGTGTCAATTTTATTTTTCATATTTTTATATTAAATTTACAAAATATTTTTCTTAAAAAAATAATTTGGGGTGTAAATTTCATCAAATGGCAACGCCCTTGAGTTACCTGGAGCGATGCACCTGTTATGTATATATGCATGTCATAAGTAGAAGGTTTAAATAAGGCTAGACAGAATATAAAGGAAGTGTTAGATCTTTGGTATAGCACCTAATAGAACTAGATTTTAGCATAATCAGACAAAAATAAAATGTCAAGAGAGAGAAAGAGAGAAGTGTTCTGACGTAAGTTAGATGATTTGTTAATCTTCCCTCTATTTTCATTACCCAAATATTTTACCAAAAAAGTGGTTCAATGTGTCTCTAGGCGTGTAGCCAAAAAATGTAAGTAATGAAAAGTTCTTTTATGATGCCAATTCATGTTCTATGCAGTGAAACAAAGATCACAATCCAAGTTCATCTTTATTCTATATTATTCTCTGAATGTTCTGTATAAGTTTTGTGAAGTTTTAATCCTTCATTTTCTTTTGTTCTGCATACAAAAGGTACTAATCCATTGACATCTAGTTTGTCCATACTGCTATTCCAGCATCTCTGGTTTGTTGTTCCAGTGGAATGACCCCCGTGTCCAAATAGTTTGACAAGATTAGTGAATAAAACATTAAGTGAGTGGGTCTTCAAACCATGCCTTTAATTAAATCTCCTGTGACTTTATTTGTGTCACTGATCCTTATGATGAAGCAAACTGCTTCAAAACAATATTACTTATTCTTTGCAAATAGAAATTCTATTAAAGGGAACTAAGAGGAGACATCAGAAAAGAAAGATTTAAAAGGGTCATTGGATTCTATTTAAGAGTGTTGGTCACACTGGAATCACCACCCTTTTACATAATATACTTGTTTACAAAAAAGTTTGAAAACGGAAACAATTTTATCTTATTAAAGTCTAAACTAAGCTTTTAATTTCCAGACGCATAATTTTCAGTTTCCATAATTTAGTTCATAAATTTCTTTTAGTACTCTTATTTTTCCTTCTTTTGCAGCCTGTATATGTCAAGGATGATTTTTCAAGGGTGAGCGACGAATATCGAAATGGAGTCGAAACTAAAGCAAGGGAAGCAAAGAGAGAAGCAACTTATCAAAAAAAATGCGAAGACTTTCAAAATCAACTTCAAGCTATGATGCAGATGATACGACAAAATCAACTCCCGAGTCCACCATCTTAGGTGTTATTATTGTTTATTCTAGTTAACAATGTTGAACTACATTATATTTTACGTTAATGTAAACTTTGATTTATTATTATAGATTTTAAGTATCTTGTTATGAATTTTAAGTTTGTTGTTATGGATGTTAAGTTTATTGGATAATGGTTTACATGTTAAATTTGGGTAACAAAAGAGTAGAAAACATCATTTGAAAAATTAGTTTTAATTCGCGGCGTTTGTATAGAAAACGCCACTAAATACATAGTCAATAGCGGCATTTTACATTCACAAATGCCACTATATGACATAACATTTAGCGGCGTTTTTGGGTCAAAACGCCACAAAAGAAAAGATAAATAGCGGCGTTTGGAAAATACACCGCTAAATATCATAATATTTACCGGCATTTGTAATAAAAACGCCGCTACCTTTTGCGACGCTTGTTTCAGCGGTGCTTTTTGCGGCGTTTGTTTTTGCGCCACAAAGGTTTTTAGCGGCGTTAAAAAACGCCGATGTATGACCAAAAAAACGCCGCTAAAAACCTGTTTTGCTGTAGTGGCAGCAGCAGAAACAGTTGCAATTGCAGCAGCAGTTGCGGAATCAACAACAGCAACAGTTACAGCAGCAAGAAACAACCTTGCCACTACAGGCTGTTGTCTCGCCCTCACAGGCAGGCTCTTCATCAACCATCGGAATTCCACAATTGAACCAGCAAGAGCAGCGGATCCAGCAGCAGCAGACTCCCATGAGTCCTCAACAAATGAATCAAAGGACTCCCACAAGTCCCCAACTGAGTTCAGGAGCTATCCAAGGGCTAACCGCTGGTAATCCAAAGGCTTGTCCGGCTAGCCCTCAATTGAGCACCAAAACCCTTGGCTCAGTTAACAGCATCACAAATTCTCCCATGGAGCTCGGTGTGAACAAAAGCAACTCTGTTGGCAATACGTAGCGTATTCGGATCACTCTTTTCATAAACTAAATTCTCCAAATATATATCATATAATTTGAAGAAGTGTCTTCAGACCTATCTAATATATTTCGTTGGAAGAAAAAACTAATTATTGAAGAACCATCCTATGTCCTACAAATGTTGTAATGAAAAGCTTAAGTTAATAGGAATGAAAAACACTAGGGTGCTTACTAATGCCTAATCAACGGTGAAAATTTATTTACATGTGTGACTTCCTTTTAAGGAAATTTTGAGAACACGGAAATTAAACAACATAATCGTCATATACCATAACTTTGTAGGCACTGAAATCATAATTCTCACTTCATTGAGAAGCTGATATAGTCGTATGATTTCATGCACAGACTTAACTATAACTCTATATTCAACTTCTGTACATGATCATAAGACCACATTATGTTTCTTCCTCTCCCATAAAATCAAGTTTCCTCTAACAAAAATATAATATATGCTGAAATAGATTTTCTACCGTCCTTACATCCTACCCAGTTCGAGTATGAAAAGCATTCAATTTTAATATGACCATGATTTTCGTATAAAATTTTATGTTCATGCGCACTTCTCAAATAATACATAACTTGCTCAACTATTTGTCAATGATCAACAATTGATGATGACATATATTAGATCAATGCATTTATCGGATAAACAATACCAAGGCATGTCATACCGAGATAATTCAACTTTTCCAACAAGTCTTATATCTCTTAGGTTATACAAATAATTCACCTTTTTGGTTGATTGTATATTGGCAACCATTGATGTAATGACTCAAATTTTTGAGTCAATAATCGAGCATTGACCTAAGTCATTGACGGATCAATTCATAAGCATGATTAGATTCGTTAGATAAACTATGGGCTTAGTCATGTGAGAATTGAGCCAAATTAGTCGTAGAAGGTGGGATTTCGAATTTAAAATAGGAGAAAAATGACTAAATGTGAGATTTGCCTATTGAATATGTGACCTAAAAAAATTAATATTTTTTTTATATTCTAAGAACTAATCTAAAACAAAATTAAAATGATTTTAAAGGTGATGAAAAATTTTCAGAAGGTTGTGAGTTTAATTCATATGACCTTTATAAATATATTTTCTAATCATTAGAGTTAATATCATGCTAATGGAATGATCAAAATAAAATAGTATTTACAATTTGAGGGTTGATATTGATTATTTAAAATTTAAGGATCAATTTAGAATGAAAACCACAATATAGAGACCGATATCGAATTTTCAAAATTTAGAATATAAATCATAGTTTGAGTGCATTCTGAGCAATTATCTCGAAAATAAACATCATCTGTGGCCTATAACCCCAAATTCCCAGCATTGGACACTTCCATAAGTACTACTATTAAAGAGAAATTGCTCATCATTCATCATGTTGTCACTGCCTTCAACTTCCTCACCTATATCTACAAAGAAGTACGAAGTTTTCTTGAGTTTTAGTGGCGAAGACACTCGCAAGAGCTTCACGGATCATCTCCACGATGCTTTGAGACGGAGCAGTATTGTCACTTTCAGGGATGATCTGAAGTTGGAAGCCGGCGAGGAGATCGCACCGGAACTCTTTAAAGCCATTAAACAATCGTATTGCTCGGTAGTCGTTTTCTCGGAAACCTATGCCTCTTCAGGTTTGTGCTTAGAGGAGCTTGCCGAGATTGTTAAACAGAAAAACGAGACAGGACATAAAATATTCCCAATTTTCTACGATGTGGATCCATCTGCTTTAAGGAAACAGAAAGATAAAGTCGAAGAAGGCTTGGTTAAACACGCAGAAAGATATAAGGAAGATAAGGACAAGATCTTAAGGTGGAGAAATGATTTGACTCAAGTAGCTAACATCAAAGGATGGCATTTAAATAACAGGTAATCTATTATTCTCTTCCCTGTCTTCTTGTTTAATTAACTTAATAATTATGAAAATGAAATGAATTTTATTTCTTTGTAGAAATGAATCAGAGTTTATTGGAGACATTGTTAGAAAAATATCAGCAGAATTATGTCATATACATATCGAATTGTTCATGATGAGTTGGTTGGAATTAGTTCACGCTTAGAGGAGTTGTATTCAAAAATAGAGATTGGAGAAGATGATGTCCGTATTATAGGAATTTGCGGAATGGGCGGCATCGATAAAACAACACTCTCAAGAGTTGTTTACGGCCAAATGTCATCTCATTTTGAAGGTAACGCTTCATTGCTGATGTACGGGATGCTTCTGATAAATTCGGACTTGTTTCTCTACAAAAACAACTTCTTTCCCAGATCTTGTTTGATGAATGTTTTGAATTTTTCAATGTTATGGAAGGAAACGCCATACATAGCCACAGGTTGTCTCACAAAAAGCTCCTTGTTGTTATCGATGATGTTGATAATTTACAGCACTTGAAATGCTTGGTTGGAAGACATAATTGGGGGATACATGTGGTGAAAGTGAAATTCAGAATTCACCTACAACAGATTGCTCAAATGAGATAAGGGATGAACTTGAGTTGTCAATCGCATCCGATGATTGTGCCAAATGTGTTAAGGTGAAGAAATGGGGGGTTCGAGTATTGTATCAGAAAGATTTGGAAGATAGAACCGATGGATCAATGGCTAATGGTCCCCTTATAAAGCGAAAACGTAATGCCTACGAAGAGATTGACCACGGGCCACAACCAAAAAGGATGGAAAAGTCTTTCAATTTTATAACGGGGAAGAAGAATTAAATTGCATGCATATAGAAAATCTTGCATTGTGATGAGAAATGCAGGTTCTATCTTAAATTGTGTGAAGAGGATCACACATTAAAAACTCCCTCTGAGAAAAAGGAAATGCAGAAGCAAAGAAAGACTGGACGAGCTAAGAAAGTATATCAGCTTGTTTTGGTTATTTTTGGTAATATCTCTTTGAAGATTTCAAAGGTCCCGAACCCTGAGAGAGCTCTATGTTTCTGAGAAGCCCTTTCGTGGCTATCGGGGAGTCGCAATTGGATTATTGCAGCGGTCGATTGTCGTGATGAAGGGAAACAAGGTAAGATACAGCATTTGAAGAGCTTGTAGATGACCAAACTGGCTTGCTCATAATAATTAATTTATTACAATTGCGTTATCAAACCATGAAACAATTTAATGAGTTTTATTTTATGCTTTATATATATAATTTCTTATATCTGTATTTGCTTTGAAGGATGAAGGAAACATTATCAGCTTGAGACAAAGATGTCTGTCGCAAAGTTGGATTGCACCATGAAGAAGCAAGTAAGAGCATGAAATGCTTTTATGATATTTGGAACATTATCATCCTTATAACGACGGCTTCATTCTGCATTGTACCAATAACTCATTCTCTAAATGATAACATAACATCTTTAATTTCTTATTTTTTTAACATCAATATTTCACTAATTTAACCTTCATCTACATAATCTTTTATGTATATAGAATTTATTTCTAAATCTACATTTTAGAGAGCATTTTTTATAAAATATATAATGTAATTATCAAGACTCATTAATATATAGAATTTAGATTCCATATGATTTTATTAGTTAAAAGATAATAAATAGTTAAGAATTCAAATATAAACATCAATTTACTACAAAATGTCCCAACAAGACAAAATGCTTTACGAACGCGCCAGATAGGGGCCGAAACCTATGACTCTCTGCTTAGGAAGCACCGCTCTGTCAACTGAGATACAGGCGCTGCAGTTACTTGTTTCCTGTCTTACTTATCATAACTAATATACTTTTAACCCATTTTTCTTTTAAAAGATAATCACTTGGCTAAAGTCAGATGGCAGTAGTATTTTGGGGGTTATTTCATAATTCCATATAAAATGGGTTTTGATTCAATCTTGAAAATTTCGAAGAAATGTAAGGCTAAATCCTCATTTAATTAAGGATAAGCTACATGAATGGTCACCGAAGAATTAATATGTTTCTGATTTTATTATTTACGTTTTAAAAAGTAAAGAAACGATTATTAACATTATCGTTTTATAACAGATCAATCACTTACCTATTAACAACCGTTATCG